TCCATTCCTTTCCTCTCTCCTCTTCTGTGAATGTTGGTGCCTTGGGCAGGCAATCCAGGTTGGCACAAGTGATCCAGGAAGGTCAGGTGATCTGGGGTAGTGCAGGAGATTCAGGTCTTGGATGGTGCAGGTGGCCCAGGCCTCTTATGTGAATTTGACTCCAGACTTTATCTGTGTGGTTCACATCAAATTATAGATAACCTTAGGAAGAATGGAAATCCCAGAACTTTTCATTGTGCACATGAAAAACAGACCAGGAAGCAGTCAACAAAACAGAGCAGTGCATCAGGTGTTGTGTCCTATCTCCATACCTTTCAGTCTGTATGTGGAACAGATCATTCAGGAAGCAGGACTTTATGAAGAGGAGTGTGATATCCTAATGGAGGCAGACTCATCAAAAGCCTGCGTTATGCAGATGATACAACCAGTTGCTTGCCAAAACTGAGAACCTGAGACATTTGCTGCAGATGGTCAAGGACTGCAGTCTTCAATATGGATTGAAATCGACATCAAAAAGACAAATCCTCACCGCTAGATCAGTTGACAGCACCATGGTAGAAGGAGAAGAGGTTGAGATTGTTAACAATTTCAGCTTGCTCAGGCTCACAGTCAACACTCTTGGCATCAGAAGTCAGGAAATCAAAAGGCAAATTGCTTGGGAAAATCCACTGCTAGCGATTGAAGCTCAATATCAAGAAAACTGAGGTTCTTGCCACAGGACCACTTGGCAGCTTTATGATAGACGGAGAAGAGACTGGAGTTGTTAACAACTTCAGCTTGATTGGCACCAGCAGTCAGGAGAGCAAAAGACTAATTGCATTGGGAATGTTGGCTGTTAGGAACCTCTCTAGAGTACTAAAGAACAAAGATGCCAGTCAGGAGACTAAGGTGAAACCTGATACAGGCCATGGTCTTCATAGTTACTTGCTATGCATCAGAGAGCTGACAGTAAGGATGATAGACGAAGGATTGGTGCCTTTGAGTTGTGGTGCTGGAGAATAGTATTGAACATACTGTGGACTGCCAGAATACACAGATCTATATTGTAGTGGGTGAAACCAAGCTGTTCCCTGGACGTAAGGATTTTGAAGCTCTGTCTCACAGAGTTGGGGCATGTAGCCAGGAAGGACTAGTCCTTGGAGAAACTGTCCTTGAAAAAGATATCATGCTTGGGAGAGTGGAATGACAGTGCTGGAGAGGAAGACCTCAGATGAGATGGATTGATAACAGTAACTGGGATAATGAGGTAGGTGTGACAGGATAGGGCAGGGTTCAGAGTTATTGTATGTAAGGGCGCTATGAGTCATAGGCAACTCAGTGGCATGTAACAACATGAATTGAGTGAATGTTTACAAAGCAAATAAATTTTCACTCAGGTGTTCATACATACGTACTTTATAGCATTAACCCCTAATATGTGATCCTTACTTTTCCCGCTTCCTCCTTATAATTCTGATTTTCACCGGTCTTCTATGCGTCACTGTGTCTTCTTTTTCTTAATACCCATATTGTATATTGTCATTCATCCATTTTAATGATTTTTTTAAACATTTAGTTCTGTTGTAATGTTAGCTTAGTGATAGAAGCTGTGCCACCAACCCAAAGACATGCAGTTCAATTCAGCTAGCTGTTTCATGGGAGAAAGATGGCCAGTCTTCATCCATGCAGTTTACTGCTTATGAAAACTTGTTGTCTGACAAAATGTGTCCATTTCCTGATTTTTAAAGAATTGTTCTTTGGGTAAAAGTTGATTTTTCCATTTAACTATTAATATATGTTTTGTTTGAACATTCATACTTTCCCCATTTCTTCCCTGTAATTCTCATTTCTATTAACCAACCCTACTTTTTTTCTACCTTCTGAATTTTGCATCTTCCTTGGTTGGACCATATCCATCCCTCAATAAAAACTTCTTTTACTTTAAACAGACTTTATGATGTCTTAAAATATTATCACAAAGCCAGAGAATAAAATTCAATAAAACATTCAATCTAGTATAAGCCAAGCTTTTTGTAATACAGAAATAATTCTAGTTTTCATGTAAAACGGCAAAGGGTTTAGCACTGCTAGATACTGTCAGTAGGCAGTGAGTGAAATGAAGTGAAGCTCTAAAGTAAAACGTTTATTATTTACTTTATTGTAATAGGCAGATTTCATCAAGATAGTGCATCCACTTGACCTAATTGAGATATATTAGTAGTTCTTTAGCTACTAAAAGATGTTAATAAAAAAAAAGACAAACATTTCGTAATAGCAGTTCTTAAATAAGATTTAAAAAAATGGACCCATTACCTTAGAATTTTTTCCAACTATGGTGATTCCAGCTCCATCAGGTTTTCAATGAGACCAGACTGCTTCATCTTTGTTCTACGGAGTGATGAGTGAATTTGAATTGAACCGCTCACCTCTCAGTTTACAACCAAACATTTAACCATTATTTCATCCAGGCTCCTCTTAATGTTGATAAATTCATATGTTTCTCTAACTCTAAACATTTTTAACAACTTTGAATTGCTCATAATAGTGAAGTTGTGTATATGCATGAGTTTATTTATGGGAACAGTTACCTGGTTTCTAAAGATGCTGTCATTTCTACAAAGACTTTAGACCAGAATGAAAAAAATGGACTTTAATTTCTTCTTTTTATTCTCTCACCAGAGGGATTAGCATTCTTGTATCAGAAATATTTACTCAATGAGTTCCTAAAAAGGGACTATTGCAGTTTTGTAGCACCTCATGGGGGCTAAATAGAAACAAATAGAATAATCTCATTGAATAGCTACCACTTGAAGAGGTTCAGGTCACCTTTTGTTTTCAGGTTTGGAAATGACAATTTGAAGACATAATCACTCAAAGCAACTTTTTGAATGGCAGCATTACAGACAGTGGAATATAAAGTTTTAAATACAGCCTGTCTGTGGAATCCCAGAACACTTGACCATGCTAATACAAAACCTATTCTTGGACCAAGAGGCAGTCATCAGAACAGAGCAAGGAAACACTGCATGGTTGAAAATTGGGAAGGGTGTACGCCAGGCATGTGTCCTATCTCCATACCTTTTCAGCCTATATGCAGAGCAAAATATCCAGGAGTCTGGGCTCTGTGAGGAGAAGTGTGGAATCAGGATTGGTGGAAGATCCAACAATCTGTGTTATACAGATGACACAACCCTGCTTGCTGAAATGGGGGAGGACCTGAAGTGCTTGCTATCATGCTTGGGAGGGTGGAGGGACAGCGCAGGAGGGGAAGACCCTCCAAGAGGTGGATTGATTCAGTGACTGGGGTAATCGGGATGGTGTGTCAGAGGCAGTGCGATTGGCACAGGATAGAGCAGGGTTTAGAGCTGTTGTACATAGGGTCACTATGAGTCACAAGCGACTCGACGGCACATAACAACAACAATATAGAATTATACCCCAAACCAAACCCACTGCTATCAGGTAAATTTTGACTCACAGTGACCCTCCATCAGTTTCCCAATTCTATAAATCTTTACTGGAGGGGACTTCCCATCGTTCTCCTATCGAGTGGCTGCTGAAGACCCTGGGTGAGATGGATTGACAACAGTAACTGGGGTAATGGGAGTAGTTGTGTCAGAGTCATTGTCACTGGCTCAGGACAGGGCAGGCTTGAGGACTGTTGTGTATAGGGTTGCTGTGAGTTGAAGGTGACTCAGTGGCACATAACAACAGCAGCTACCCTTTGCTTTAGCAAAAAGGATGACAGAAGAACTGATGCCTTTGAGTTGTATATCCTATGAACTTCAGAAGAACAAGGAGATATACCTTGGAGAAAGTGTCACCATAATACTCCTTATAGGCAAAGATAGTGAAGCATCATCTTCTGTACTTTGGGAATTTTGTTAGGAGAGGCTGTTCCTTGGAAAAAGACATGATGTTTGGAAAGATGGAGGGCCAGGGAAGAGGAGGACCCCCAGTGGGATGGATTGACACAATGACTGCAACCGTGGGCTCCATGGCACAGGACAGGGGCAAGATTCAGATTTGTTGTTTATACAGTTGCGAGGAGTTGTACTGGATGGCACCTAACAATAAAAAATAATTCACCAGAGCTCCTATTGAATTTTTAGAATGATTAAATAAATTAGTTTATAGAAGGGAAAAAGTGAAATATATTTTTGAGATAAACCTTGTAGTAAACACTTTATGATAGAAATTCCTGCTTGTAATAATAATAGCCGTGGTAGTTATGATGATAAGATCATCAACTAACCAAATTGTAGTTTATAGCCTGTAAGATTCTCATATAATGATGATCATATTTTATAAATAAGAGAACTTGTTTTCAGAGCTTCACCACTATTACATAACTGGTCAGTGACTGTTGGGATTTGAATCCAGAGCTAACTGAATCCTATGGTCTTAATGCACTTTTACTATTATATTATTATACAATAATTCTTTGATTGCTAAATTTGTTTAAAAGAAATTACATTGTGATTCAACTATAAACAAAATGCCCATCTGTTGATAGCAGATGATCCAGGCTGTGTATTTGGTAAAATTAAATTTTTAAATGGAAAATTACTAACCCATTTATTATAGTTGCAGTTTCTATGAACAGACTTTCAAAAAAATGAATATTATTCTAATAAAGTGGATTTCCTTTGATTTTTATTTTTAACTACATTATATAAGTTTGAATAATAAAATTTTATAGAAATGTAACAAAATATTAAGGGAATTATATTTCACATTACTTTTTAAAAGATTTTAAGACTTTTCATAATTATTAGCTACAAATGCCTCAAAAAGCATCATTTAATTGATTATTTTTTTTATTGTGCCTTCAGGATTATGGTAGTAAATTCAGAATGCCTTGATTTAATATTAACTATTTTTTTTCAGTCTTAATTGTCTTTTGAACTAACTTCTCAACATTGTTTAATAATTTTTTTTAATCATGCAAGTTGGCAATTTAAGAAATAATAGTTGACTTTTCAACAGTTTTTTTCCCTAATGTTATCCCTTTTTTCTAGAACTAATATCAAATCTCGAAATTCTACACCACCTAGTTTGGCAAAAAATCCTGCCTCAGGTGTGCCTACAAGCAAAAGAAAAACTTATAATGAGAGCTACATAAACAGGTATGTATATCTCTCAGCTGTCATAATAACTAAAATACAATAAAAATGCTTGTGTGTAATTTTACAAAGACTTCCAAAACATAATCTATATCTAATATTTCCTTTATTGCATGATTTAATTTTTCTTTTAGTATGTATGCTAAAAAAATAGTATGGTCATAACTGATAGTTTTCTTGGACTTTATACTTACTGTTCATACTCAAAGACAGTTTATTCAGCTCAATAGGATTTATAGAGGTGTCCCCCCTTGCTGTAATTTTAAGCATAGCCTTGTTATTTTTACCTGTGCACATTTAATAATAAATCCTTGAAGGCACTGTAATATTGGTATTTTAAGCATCATTTCAATACAATTAAACTGACCTCTAAGGTTGTGATTATGTATATGTTTCTCACTTTTCTTTCTAACCTACCTTCATATTTGCTCAACATTGGCATTCTTTGTTTTTTAAATATGCAAGGAAACTTTCCCAGTCATTTATATTTATTATATATACCCAAACATATTGCAGAAATGTTTAAGGCACCATATATACTTAAAGCATAGTGAGAGACACTGCTTTTGTTTTTTTAAATAGAAGAAGTAGGGGCAGAGAAGGAAAAAGAACGATTTAGGATATGGAAGCAAGAGTGAAGTTAGTCTGTAAAATATATGCCATGAAACTATATGGAGGCTGGCCCTGGACAACAAAGTGGGGTTGAACATTGTAGCAATCAGTGTATGAGTATAAATTGTATATGGTTTCATTAGTCTATAAAGAACATTAAGCAAGTTTCTCTGGAGAAGCACAGCTAGTCCTGATACCTCACATTATTTTTCTATTGGTCATTATAAAGAAGGTAATGTAATAGGTTATTAACTTTACAACTATAAATGTGAACTCTGGTGGCTTAATGGTAAGGCACGTGGTTTGAGATTTAGCACGTGGTTTGAGATTTAGCACGTCTGAGAACCTGCTAGAGGATTAGCTGTGGATCATTTCACACTCAATAGTACATACTAAAAACAACAATAACTATAAATTTGAAGATACATTCCATAGGATTTTTAAAAAGGTCTATAATGAGATAATTATGATTTACTTCAGTGATAGTTGCTTTCTTTCCAGAGAGATTCTTTAATACTGTCTTCTTCAGCTAAGGTTCTGATCTACTTTAAATACTAACAAAGTGAGCTTAAGCTTAAGTGTAGCTCTGTCATTGTTTATACATGGAGCATGCTTTAAATCGCTGATTAAAAAGAATTTAAAATTTTATTAAATGGAGAACTTATAAATAGCATGTGCTTGGATAAATCATCTTATCTCTTCACAGAGGTGGATGAAAGACACCCACAGACAGAGGTGAAAACATTAAGAAATAATTAAAAAATTTTGGTCTTGTTCCTTTTTCTTTCTTTTTAAATGTTGGTATCTGATAGCAATCCCAGAGCTAGGCTCACTTGACTTCCTTTTACTACTCCAGGCCCTATCCTAGATAAAGATAATTATAACCATGACTTGTAAGAAAATTGCAGAGATTTCTGGACTCATCCAGGACTCTTCCACTAAAAACATGTAGAAATATTGGATAAAATAGAGCATGCATCTTGTTGAAGGCATAGCCAAGCTCTCAGCAAAATAAAGATACCTTCATGAAATAAACCTTTAAAGATTTGTCAGGTTGCTAAATTAACCCTTGTGGTGTTAGCCTAAAAATTGGAATTTTTTTTTTTAATCGTTATACTTACCTCCCTCTGGTCTCCAGCTCTTAAATGCAGACACACGGTCTTACAGTTCATGAAGAGCTATGGGATTTGGATAAGAGAAAGAGTGTTTACCACAGTGGGCAGCAAGGCTTGAGGCGAGTAAGTCTTGAGAAGGCAATACTTGAGGGAGACTAGGGCAAGACCCTGTTGAGAATGAGACCCTGGTGGCAAGACACTGATAATGGTGATGGAGAGACAGTGGTGTTGTTGTGAAGAAACCATGGCAAAGTGTAAACAGAGGAAACCCGAGATAAAGGCCAGAGTTAAAGGTTTTTGCTGTTTATGCTAACTAGATGCTTGAAGAAGCAGCTGACTTATAACTGCTCTGGGCAACTTTTTTGGATGATTTAACTTTAACTGCTAAACTGAAACCAGAGCCTGGACTATTTGAGGAATTGTGCCTTGGAACTTGGGCTAAAACCTGGATTTGTTTTAGGTGATATTCTTTGCCTCCCTCACTCTCCAACTTATTTCCCTGATATACCCCATTCCTCAGTACTACAACTGTGAGTCTGTGAGTCAACAATAAATAAAGGAACTTTTGCTGCTGGTGGAGATCTACAGGCACTGTGGGGCTGGGCTATGGGCTCTTTTATCTGCTTTCTGCTTTGGGGCAGTGAGTGGCTGTGTTATTCTCACTCCATCTGGCCCTTTTCAGAGAGTTATTCATGGCCCTGTGCCTCAGTGTCCTCTTTTCAGTACTTTATACAACCCTAATATTGCATGACAACAACAACAATATTGCATCTGTATTTTGACAGATCTTCATGATCTGGACTTGGGCTTTAATGTTGTTAAACAGAAGAATTGAGTTTTTGGATTTGTACAGACTAGGGCTTTAGTGACTAAAGTTCTCCATCCTACCCTCGAGGCTCTCACTTATGTTCACTTTGCTCATTTGGAGAAACTTACATGATTGTTTCTCAGAAAATACAGAAGGATAACCTCAAGCATTTATCTTCATGGAGCCCTTCAGTAATACTAGACCTAATTTTTGATCTGCCAGGTGACCCTTTAAGATGTGAGGAAAAGGGGATCTTTTAAATCATTGTAGAGCCAATTTTATTAACAATCCTGTGTCCTAAACACCCCAAAAACCATTATCTCTTACAACAGCCTCATAAGACATAGCTTCCGGGACATGTAAGGTATATGCCTTGTTTCAAGGAATTGCTCACAACCCCTGTTGCCTGGAAACACTACTGACATTACAATTTTATTACGTTTCATTGTAACAAAGCTGAGAAATTTTCTTTAAAGTTTCTTTTTTTAGCAGGATAGAGAAAATGCTTTATTAATGCTTTTTTCCACAGTGACCAATAGTTATGCCTCAGAGAATGGATGACATAGGACAGTGCATGAAGATAGCAAGTAAACCATAGATAGAAATCCCCAAAGAAGCTTGTCTACTTAAGCCATGTCCAAGAGGGATGTGAGTTTCCCTTGATAATTTTCAACTATCGGTTCACCTCTTGAGTTTAAATCTAGTATCTACATATTAGCTAAAATTAGTTTGTTGTTATGTACTGTCTAGTCAGAACTGACTGCCCATATCCCACAGAAAAGGTAGTGATTTGCCTTTGGATTGGCAGTACAGTTTCTTTCCATTAAGGCACCAGAGTTCCCTAGTGACTTCACAGGAGAAGCAAAGGCCAGCCCTGTTTGGTGTAATATGTCAGTGCAGACATTCCAGTTCACACAGATTACTTAAAGTATTAAAACTATGAAAACCAGACAGTAAAATAAATGTGTTTAAAGTATTTGAAGAAACAGGAGAGGGAAGTGAAATAATTAACAATGGCAAGAAACTACCATTAAAAGAATATGCTGTATTTTTTTTATAAAACTAAAATAGAAATACTTATTTAACAATGGTAAAGTTAGTTTGCTTTCTCTTAACATACTCCCTCAATCAGATCATAGCATCTAATACTATTTTCTTTACAAAGGAATAGTGATAACTATAAATTTGTTATTCGTATCTGAGAAAGGCCCTTGGATTCAAGGAATTATTGTGACAATACAGTTTTCTCATGGAACAGAAAGAAGAAACAAAGTATGACTTAAAAAAAATGGTTTCTTTTTGTCTCAGTGTTTTTTGATTTCTAGCAAATTTCATGAGAAAGTTCAGTGTTTGTTTTTTTTTTAATACTGCTTGCATTGAAGAATTCTTCAATAGTTAGTTCTCTTTATCGTCCTAGCAGGGAGTGTAAACATGCTATTAAAGGGTTTAGATATCTCTTCTTAGGATTAAGTAAATATTTGATCAGTACAGTCTGCATTTACTTCATTATTATCTTTTGTGTGTGTGACCCTTATAATGTCAAGTATTCATCTCTAAACTCTTACATTATTCTGTTAGAATCTTATTTTGCCTTTGTGCACATATCTTGGTATATATGTTCTGCCTTCTAGGTTGTACAAAGAGTATTGTTAAATATTTATTGCATGGCACCCATTCAATGAAACAGTAAAATGAAAGTGAATAATAAGATAAATCCTATGCATATTCTCATCCAAGAGGGTCCGAGACCTTTTCTTTCCATTGTAGTAACTGGCAAGTGCATAGAACACCTTACTGTTCTTTTGCTTATTTTTTTAATCTGAACTAGGGAAATAATGAAAATTAGTTGAAGCAGGCCTTTGATTGCACTTAATATTGCTTCCTATTTCCCAGCGACTATGAGTGAAAGCTACTCATGTGTACTTTATTTTTCTATTTTCTTTGACTTCAGACCAGATGGAGACTACTTGTCTTCAGTTAATGGTGGAAACATCAAAAGCAATGAAGGAAATTCATCAGGACATTTACCAAAATTCTGCCATGAGTGTGGGACCAAATACCCTGTAGAATGGGCAAAATTCTGCTGTGAATGTGGTGTGCGGAGAATGGTCTTGTGAGCAGAGGCTGAAGTCCAGAATCTTAGGACTCAAACTTCTTGGATGCTAGAGCACTTGCTGTATTTACTTTGTGCTGAAAATATTTACAATACCCATTTTAGTAATTTTGGGAATGTTATAATCCTTTGACTATGTAGGATGTATATATATATATATATATATGTGTGTGTGTATATATTGTATATAATAATACCTGATACCCCATTCGCTGTCGTTGAAGGAAATGTTCACGTACCTGTCAAAAATAATTTCAAATGGGATCATTAACTTAGATACTAATTTCTTGGTGGTGGGTGTGAAAGCACATTAAATATACTTCCACAAACTCAAACTTCTGTCAGACTTCAGGATGATCATTACACTAAGGAAGAAAATCACAATTTTTTTTCCCCCAACAGTGTTCATCTTTGAATAGTAGAATAGATGTGGAATTTTGTATTTGAAGATACTATTTTTGGTCACAGTTACTCATATGAAATCAGCTTGCACAGCTCTCAAACACCTAGTTTTATAAATATTAAAATATAAGAGCAAAACCCACTCAAAACATCAGGTCTGTTATGCTTCTCTTGCTGTATAATTAATTTAATAATTTAAATATTTTTACTTATTTTTTGAAAGTACGGCTATGCAGTTTTCTTTTCAGACTGAAGAAAAGATAACCAGTCTTCTATGTATAATTCTGTGTATGTTAAACATATTCTTTTTACTTTTAATTGTGTCTCTAGATTACATTTTTCTTTCATTCCTGTAACCTCATATCTGAATAACAGTCTTAATATACTACTTTATTTTTTGCAAAATTTGAAAACAGTTAATGTACCATGCATAAAATTTTTTACAAATTTTGCATTTTGAAAATGTATTTTTTTTCTGTGTCTCTGAACTTAGAAGTAATTATTTTTAACATTTAAAACAAACCACCTCAGCTAATAAAAAAATAATTGTGCTAATTAAGCATTAGTGCAGGGCATGCAAAGTGAAAAGTATTTAAATTTTAACCTCTTGAAGTATGGTTAGATGTAGCTGTGAGAAAGGAAGGAGGTTAACAGAATGCCTAATTTTCCCCATTCATCTTTTCTCTAGTGTTTAGTATTCACACACTCTTTAGATCACAATAAAAAAACCACAGAAAATATATTGTAATAGTGCATAATTGATTTATTATGTAATGTTTATTATGACCTAGACCTTTAATCATACTTTCTCTTAAAGTGACTAAAATACCGCTTTTAATCATTGTCATTCACAGTGTAAGGCAATATATATAGTAATACATCTCTTTGATTGCTTATACATACATATTAAAAAAATTCTTCAGTAATTTTTGGTTATACTTAAGAGAGCTTGAATCTTCGGGATACAAGTAGATCTTTCATATTTTAAGCAATTTCTGGCTTGCTTATTGTAATTGTAAGGAACAGCAGAGATTTGTGGCCTACAGTGTTCTAATTCTGAAATTTATTTACACTTATACATTACTATTTTATTTCTTGGTTTTTTAAAAGAAATTGGCAAGGGGTTTCGGCTTAGTAATAATGGGAATTGCATTTTACAAACCTTATGGTTTTTCTTAATTTTTTTTTTTAGGTTTTTGTTAGAGTGTTTTTTTCCCTAGTTATTTTAATTCAGTTATATGGGGGGGGGGGAAATCAGAGGAAATTGGCCCAAAATCTCTAAGAGAGACTGTAGTATATAGAAGAGTACAGTGTACATATTAGAATTCCATTTCAGTAATTTTTTTGTTTTATCTTGTTATAATTCACAGAAGAGTTGTATTTTATTTAAACTTGTGAGTACTGTTTTTTAAAGGTTTTGGTGGTGGTATGTTGTTTGTTTTTTTTGTTTTTTTCAAAGCCACATGGGTTTTCTCCAGAAAGGAAAGCATAAATTAAATAAACTGATACAGGTTAGTTTGTTACTGGATTTTTCCGTAGCAAATTATTATTTGTACTATATGGAGAATTAAGCCATCCAACTCCAGAACCCAGAGATTGTTATAAACAGCAAGTAGGTTAACTACTTAAATACTATAAAATATGTGTGGCAGTGTATTTAAATGTATTTTATATGATTTTCACATTATCCATACATTGATGTGCAGTAGCTAAGTTTCTAGAAACACTTCTAGGTCTGTATAATTTTATTATTTCTTTTCATACACCTTTTTCAGTGTTACAGAATAAAAATTATTTTAAGCTTAAATTTAAGATGTAAAATTTGTTCATATATTCGGGAAACATCAGTTTGAAAAATTATTAGCTGGAAGAATCAGAGTATTGTGACTACTGTTGTCTCTTGTCTGCTATATTTTTTTTATTACATTTTATGTCTTCATTTTTGAATCAATAAAGACATAAACATAAAAATGCTAACTTATGTTTACTGATATATTTTCTTTTTAGCCAATCATGTATAGAAAGATGGAGACACACTAAGTTTTAAAAAGTATTTAAAGTCAGAAATAAAGGTTTTCTTATGAGAAAATAGGTTTAAATTGCCAGATTTCTTTAAAGGCATAACAGATCATCAACTACTCATATGGGAGTTCAAATTAAAGTTAAAGAAGGTTAAATCATATCCACAGGAATCGAAGTTTGATCTTGAATCTATCCCCTCTGAATTTAAAAACCAACTCAAGAACAGGTTTGAGGCCTTGAGCTGTGGGAAGATACTAAGAATATGAAGAATGCAAAAGGTCATTACAAAGAAGGAAGATGAAGCAAAGAACAAAATGGATGTCAGAAGAGACTTCTGAATACTGCATTAGAGTGGCATTAGAAGCCAAAGCAAAGAGAAGAAAAGAATTAGCTGACACAGAAGAATTTAAAGAAACAAGAACAAGAGACAATGGTGATGAAGGAGGACGGTCAGGCTATTCTGAGGGATTCTGAAAAATTGATAGAATACCAGTGACACATTTCAACAGTTTCTGCCCTGGATGTGCCAAGAAATCTGGAGGACAACTACCTGGCTATCTGACTGGAAGAGATCCACATTTATTCCCATTCCAAAAAAAGGTGACCTGACAGAGTATAGAAATTATCTTAAATTATCCCTAATATCACACACAAGCAAAATCCTACTGAAGATTTTCCAGAAACAACAGTACATTGACGGAACTACCAGAAGCAATATAAGCTGGGTTTAGAAGAGGTCATGGTACTAGAATATTATTGTCAGTGTAAAATGGATCGTGGCAGAAAGCAAAAAAGTACCAGAGGAATGTTTATCTGTGTTTCATTGACTGTGCAAAGGCATTTGATTGTGTGAATCACAACAAATTGTGGCTAACCTTGAGGAAAATGGGAATCCCAGAACACTTGATGTTGCATATGCGAAACCTATACTTGGAACAGAGCAGAGAAACACTGCATAGTTGAAAATCAGGAAAGGAGTGTGTCAGGGTTGCATCCTGTCTCCATACCTTTTCAATCTATATGCAGAACAGATCATTCAGGAAGCAGGGCTTTGTGAGAAATGTGGCCTCACGATTGGAGAAAGTCTCATCAACAGCCTACATTATGCAGATGACACAACCTTGCTTGCTGAAACTGAAGAAGACCTGACTTGCTTGCTGCAGAAGGTCAAAGACTGAATTCAGTATGTATTGAAGTTTAACATTAAGAAGACAAAAGATTCTTACCACTTGACCAATTGGCAGCAACATGATAGAAGGAGAAGAGATTGAAGTTGTTAGTAATTAAAGCTTGCTCAGCTCCCGCAATTAACACTCTTAATACCAGCAGTCAGTCAGGAAATCAAAAGACAAATAGCATTGGGGAAATGTCAGGGACCTCTACAGAGTACTGAAAAGCAATAATGTAAATCTAGAGACTAAGGTGTGCCTAATCCAGGCATGGTCTTTGCAATTACTTGCTATGCGTCAGAGAGCTGGACAGTGACTCAGGATAACTGAAGAAGAATTGATGCCTTCAAATTATGATGCTGGAGAAGAGTCTGGAACATATATACCATGGATTTCCAAGAAAAAGGTCTGTCTTACAGAGGGTGAAACCAAGTTTCTCCTCAGAGGCTAGGATTTTGAGTCTTCATCTCACATATTTTGAGCACGTGTCCAGGAGAGACTGGTTCTTGGAGAAGGACATCATGCTTTGAAGGGTTGAGAGAGTGCATGAGAGGAAGACTGGGATTGGGATGGATTGATGCAGTGACTTGGGGCAATGGGAGTTTGTGTCATAATCAGTGAGACTGGCTCAGGACAGGGTATGGTTTAGAGCTGCTGTACATAGGGTTGCTATGGTTTGCAGACAACTGCTGGCACATAATTTTATCAGTCTTTAATGGATGTTTCTTTTATAGTCTTTATCAGTTAAGTTTTTTAAAAACTAATCCCTGGCGTGTGTGATTTGTTATCGATAATTCTTCTAGGAGATATAGCACTGGTCTGTGCATTGGTGTACAGAGGTAACTCGTGGTTGCTGTGATGCTGAACACTGGGACACTTATGTGCCAAACGTGGTAATGGGTCCCTATGGTGGATAGTGTTTGCTGGAGCTTCCCTCCTAAAAGCCTGGAAGCAGGAGCGGCATCCACTTCCGAAATGGCTTGCGTCCAGAAACTCTATGTATGAACAGTGCTCAGCCCTTTCATTCATAGGGTCGCTATGAGTCGTCTACGACTCGACAGCACCTAACAACAACAACAACAATTGCTAATTTGGAAACATTTACATATGTGGTGGTGTTAGGTGTCATCGAGTTGCTTGCGACTCATAGCTATGTACAACAGCCCTAAACTCTGCTCTGTCCTGTGCCAATCACACTGTCTTCAATACACCTATCCTGATTACCCCAGTCACTGAATCAATCCACCTCATAGAAGGCCTTCCCCTCCTGTGCTGTCCTCCACCCTCCCAAGCATGATGTCCCTCTCCAAGGACCTCTCCCTCCTTACATGTCCAAAGTATGTCTAACAAAGCCTCAGAATCCTTGCCTCCAAGGAGCAGCCTGGTATAACCCTCTCCAGGGTGAATCTGTTTTCTTAGCAGTCCATGGTACTCTCAATTCTCTTCTCCAGCACCACAGCTCAAAGACATCAATTCTCCTGCTATCCTCCCTAGTCATTGTGCAACTCTCTGATGCATAACAAGTGATTGCAAAGACCATGGCCTGTATCAGGCACACCTTAGTCTCCAGAGAGACACCATTGCTCTTCAGTCCTTTGGAGAGGTCCCTAACAGCTGACTTTCCCATTGCAATATATCTTTTAATTTCCTGGCTAGTGGTGCCAAGAGTGTTGACTGTGGAGCCAAGCAAACTACAGCTGTGAACAATCTCAGTCTCTTCACCATCCATCCTGCTGCTGCCAATTGGTCCAGTGGTGAGAATCTTTGTCTTCTTGATGTTGGGCCTCAATCCATATTGAAGGCTGAAGTCCTTGACCCTCTGCAGCAAGCTCTTCAGGTCCTCCTCAGTTTCAGCAAGTAGGGTTGTGTCATCTGTATAACACACAGAAGTATTTGATAGAATTTAAACTACTTCAAAGATGCTTTCAAAGGTGTATCTTCTAATTGACTGGCATTTTTTATGAGATTAATGTTTACTGAATTTTTTAAAAAAGACATTAAAACAGATTTAAATTTTTTTTCTTGTCAACTGTTTTATTGGAAGAATTGAAGGAATGCTTGGAAAGGTGGAGGGTCAGAGAAAGAGGAAGACCCTCATCAAGGGGGATTGACACAGTGACTACAGCAAAGGGCTCAGTGTGTGAGATGCTGAGGGTTGCATAGGATAGGACAAGGCTCAGGACTTGTCTGTAGGGTCACTATGAGTGATGCCCAACTCAAAAGCACCTAACAACAACAACAACAACAATGTAACAAAGCAAAACCAAAAATTCTTGTCCAGGTTCTCTGAATAGTGATTTTCAAAGACATTTGTAAATACATGGTTTTTAATTCCCAGAATCCTTAGAATACTTATGAATTGTGAATATTCAAAATAGAATGCAGAATATTTCTACAATTTCAGAACTTAGAATTTACTTAATTTTTTTTTTTAGTTATTTAGGGTTTTTTGAATAATACTTTCATCGAGACAAAACTAATCTTTAATTGGGGAGCAGAAATACTTATATTCTTACAGGTGGTTAAGAAATGAGGTAAGTAAACCCATAAATATACACAAACTTCTCTCTAACAAATATTTGCTGAATAAACTCTTTTAGTGTGAAATTTCTTGAAAATTAAAATCACAAACAATGGCATGTATTAAGGAAGAAGTTAACACAGTTTAAAAGTACTGTTCTTTCTATCACAATTTCAGAATTTTTTCAACATTGTTAGACTATGTTATAAATCGCTCTCAAGGAAGCACTGTTGTCTAAAGTTTACGTTTAAAACGCAAAACCTCATTGCTGTCTAGTTGGAACTGTACATTGCTGGCCCTGTAGCAAGTTTTCTGATGCTGTGAGTTGCACAAAGAGTGATTATTGCCCATTATTTTCCTGAAGAACTATTGATGGCACAAAGTTTACCTTTATTTCTATGACTGATAGTTTATCAATTTCACCATGTCATCAGGAATGAAATGTAGTACGTAACTGAATGTGTATGACTTCGTGAAGGATCATTGGCTCCATAAAAGTGCAAATCAACTCCCTACCTGGACTTGCCACTGAAGTCCAAATAGAGAGCAAGCTTGACTCAAATTACATTAATGAAAATAACTAAGATATCACCCCCGTAAGAATAGCAAAATTTAAGAGAACAGCAAGCAACAAATGCTGGTGAGGTTGTGGAGAAACTGGAACCCTTATTCACTGTTGGTGGGAGTGTAAAATAGTGCAACCACTGTGGAAGGTGGTGTGGCGCTTTCTCAAAAAGTTGCAAATAGAAATACCATTTGACCCAGCAATTCTACTACTGGGAATATACCCCAAAGAAACCATAACTGCCACCCAAGCAGATATATGCACACCCATGTTTATTGTGGCTTTGTTCATAATAGCAAGGAATTGGAAACAACCTAAGTGTCCATCAACAAATGTATGGATAGAGAAGCTGTGGTATATTCAAACAGTGGAATACTACGCAGCATTGAAAAACAAGGAACTCATGCAATATTATTCAAAATGGGTGACCCTGGAGGACATTATGCTGAGTGAAATATCTCAGTCACAAAAGGACAAATACTGCATAGTGCCACTTGTAAAACAGGACTGACCTCGGGGTTGGGGGGAGACTGAGAAAGATAGGTTCAATAATGTATACTGCATTGAAAAAATGAAGGAAAACACTTTAAAAGGGATATATGATTGGGTATTATTGTCATGACAAGAGTGAAGAATAAAGGCTGTATAGTGGAGTGGAGCTGGGGGAGGGATTGTTTTAAAACAATGAATTTTTCTTTTACTTTTCAAAGATAACAGTGTATGGGGTTGGGGGAGGAAGAGGTGGGCAGGGAGAAAAGTGCAACAATGAATGAATGGAAATCCAAAGTCTCTGTAAATTTTCATTAAAATTAATAATAAATTTTATAAAGGGTTAATGAAAAAAAAATCCATTAATGAAGTATTCCAGTGGGTTCTTTACCACTGTAAATAACAGGTATAGAAGATTCTGTACAACTATCTATACAAGTAAGGAGGAAACCATATAAGCTGGAGAAAGTGTGAAAGAGAGGCAGAGGAAAAGCAGGGAGCATCTTCAAGGTGTGGTAATACCTTGGTAAAACACAAATACAGTTGTGTTTGCTGGATACTGCTTCCCCTTCACTAGTATAGATAGGTGTACAGAGTTCTATGTAATTGTTATTTGCAGTGGTAAAGAATTTACTGGAATACCTCATTAAGGGGACTTTGAGTCAAGTTTGTTTTCTGTTTCGATTTAGGTTGCAACTCCAGATAAGGAGCAGCGTCCTCCAGTAAAAGCCAGTCAGCACTTAATTAGATGGTGGAGTTGTGAGATACTACAGAGGGAAGCTACAAGTTCAGCAGTTTGTAAACTAGTAGCTGTTCCAGGATCTGGCTTGTTTTTAATAGTTTCCACTTCCCTCTATGTGTTAACGAGGACTGTGCAGTTTTGCTCATGGGAGTTTTGTCAATACAAAGGTATTGCTTAAAAAAGGTATAGTCACAAAGTAGTTTCCTGCTCTTACATCATTTCAGGCAATAAAATATAAAGGATGTTATATTCAGTGACAGTAGGAGTTGAAATAGTGAGAAATCTAAGATTAGTCCTGATGAGGGTCATTCAAGACTGGCAGTATTAATAAGGCATATATCATTTATTATCAAAGGAGAAATGTTATTCAGTGTAAGCAATTTGTAATACAGTATGAAAATATTTGTATATACAGATACAGTGTCAAAATTAAATATACATACATATTGAAGAAAAGGCAGACATATATTATTCTCTTAGACACACATTTCACAAAAGGCAAAGTCATTTAGATAGGTTTTATTGTGTATAAATGACAAGTTACTCAATACTATGGTCTAGCATTCTTATAGGAGACAGTTTCTGTTAAATTATCCTTTATTTTCATTTAAACACATTCAATAATACTATTTTTTGAAGGTACTCTTTTCATGGTTAACTATGTCTCTTGATATCACTCAATTTTCTTGCACTCCTTTATGCTATTGCTTCCTTGAAGGTGTCTGATGAGCTTGTTCTCTGAGTATTCCTCACAGCTCAAGGTTAATCTGAAACATCTCCAGCTAAGATGTAAATGTCCACACTTGACGACCCAGTATATGGATGCAGAATGGACCATATATTATTTTGATAATTAAACAATGTTAATTTTCATTCCATCCCTGAAACCATTACATTTCATAGATTTGGTATTTTTTTCCCCTCCTGAAATTCTTAAACAAGTTAAAAAAGAATTATTGTAAGTGGTACCATAAAGGATTGTCTTATATAAAAATCAGTTCATAATTAACACATACTGATCTGTTCCCACTTACACACAACACATTGTTTATTGCAGCATTTGGTTTACATTGTTAATGTTCATCTTCTCAGTATTAAAATATGGATTTTTTTTCCCCCAACTGCTGTAATCCATTTTACCCAGCATGCATTCAGTAGCTTCTTGGAGGCATTCTATATCCTCCAAAGTCGCATGAGCAAACTCTTGATAGTTGCAATTGAAGTCCGTATGCTTCTAGAATTTCATTCCGTTATTTTTCCGGGATCTTTAGCATTTCTCAAAATTTTATTCCAACAAGTTTTTATCTTTTCTAGTAGTCTTTTTAGGAAACAGAAGTCATTCTGTTTTTTCTGTTCCTTCAACAATTTATTCTCTTCCTAGATAAGTAATATACAAAAGCTTTATTTACATATTTTTAACAAAAACATGAATTTTTATTATCAGTCTACCTGTAATAGTATTTCATTTCAATCACAATTGGGCCTTCAAGAAAACTTGGTGCAAGTGTTAATATAATGAAAGAATTTTGTACTGTTTTTTAAAGTCTATGGCATCGAAGCATAATTGTGATCTTTAAAGTGAGGAAAATTCAAGGTAGGTATGGTTTAATAGATTGTTGTTGTTACGGACTCATAACGACCCTATGAACAATAGTTTTGAACTCTGCCCTATCTTGAGCCAATCTGACCGTTTGACACACCTGCTCCCCGTTGCCACAGACACTATACCAATCCATCTCATCCAGATCTTCCTCTCCTGTGCTGACCCTCCACCCTACCAAGCATGATGCCCCTTTCCAAGGACTTGTCCCTCCTGGCAACATGCCCAAAATATGTGAGAGACAGAATTTTAAGATAGTTAGGGTTATTTAATAAAAGTGCAGTGAAAGATTGCAACTATAAACATAAAATCTGTAACATGAGAAAAATATTTGTATATGATTTAACTGAGTTGGTTTGGTTTGTTTCATGTTGGGTAATACTTTTTAATGTTCCGCTAAGGAAAAAATATACAAATAAAATATAGAAAACCAAATGTTCAGTGGACATAGTAACACTCAAAATGTTCAGATGATTTAAGGATTAGATGCTATAATCCACACCTAGTATATAGTGGAGCCTGTACCTTATGACCCACCCACCCTTATCTGACCTTCATCACAGAATGGCAAATGCCTGTCTCAAAAGGTCCTTTTCAGTCATCTGTGAAAACTATACAGCCTTACAGGAAAATAGGTAGTTCTGCATGAACTCATAGTCTCCAGGAGGTGCAGATGAGCTCACTTTAGTACAGGTGCCTCAGAGAACAGCCTGATGATCTTCTAAAATATCTGCTGTTGAAAAGCCTTTGTTGGACAATTCTCCTCAGATGCATGTGGGGGCACCGTAAGTCCAAATCAATTCATGGGGACCAGTTAGACCAAACTCACTCCCTGAGGTCAGAAGGCTCATGAGAATATGACAGTCATGCAGAAATCTGTTGCTATTGAGTAGAGTCTACCTCATGGCAACCTCACGTCTGTCAGAGTAGAATAGTACACCAGAGAGAAATGTGAGGGGCTGAGTTTTCTGAAGGACATCCCCGGCATTTCTCCTAAGGCACTTCTGGCTGGGTTTAAACAGCCAATCTTTGTTTTATCTGCTAAGCACTTGACTGTTGATACTGCCTAGGGACTCTGACATTCGCACATTTTAAAAAATGAAAACTCATTGCTGTCAAATTTGGACGAACCAACTTAGCTGATTTTCTAGTGGGTTTTCAGAGGCTTTAAATCACATGGGAGAGAGTGCCCATCTTTCTCCCCCAGAGTGGCTGACGGATTGAGACTTCCAAAGAGGCACCTCTTTTGGGTAAGAGAAGTAACTTCCAACCCACTAGGAAATCCGAGCTCCCCAGAGATTAGTACAGTACAGGGTAATGCTTCTTAGATAGCAGTCACTTTACGCTTTGTAGGTCAGGCGTTATGCTCCATGCTTTACACATACTACTTTATTTTGTATACTTGATAACTCATAAAATTGATGATTTTGTCTTTTACACATGAAGAAACTGCACTTCAGGGAGAACAAATAATCTGGCAAGATGACATTGAAATATGTAGAATGGCTGGGTTTTTTATCCAAATTTGTCCTAATGCAGGATCCTGTTCTGTGTCTTTTGAAAATTTGGTTCTAAATCTGATCCTTTTCATTTACAGATTCATTCATGTTAACACATTAATCCTTTCCTTAATACCATAGTCAAGATTAATACCTTAATACCATTTTTTAAGATAATACAGTCAAAGATCGATATAGAGGACAATTCAACTTTTTTAAAAAAGGGAGTCCCAAAACATTTTTCAAAATTACAAATAGAGCTTAACTTTGCTAAGTATATTTAAAATACATTAATGTGAAAATTCATGGCTTTCCCTAAGAGATTAATAATTCAAACATTTGAAATTAAAAGCTTGGATTTTAACTCTGAAATCTAGGGAACATAACTTTTCTAAATCTTCTTTCCAAGCTATTTTATCCATAGCCTTTAATATATTTGCACTGCTTTTAGGCCATGCATTCATCTCAAGTCTCCCATTCTAGCTGTCATTTTTTTTAGATTTTCTGCATTCCAAGGTGTGCAAGCTCATATTGCTTCTCCACGAGTCATTAATTCATATATTCTTACATGTTTATTGGTCAAATAGCCTTACACTGGAAATGTAAACAATGAACCAATCACTCTCGTATACCAGATAGGGTTCTCTTTCCACGTCCTATACTAGTTATGTGCTTACTTTAACTTTTGAATTAGATTCCATATTTCATTCATAAACATTGTCTATATTACTTTGCATGATTGCATCTATCTTGCATATATGTAAAAGTTCAGGTAAAGAATATTAACATACTACTGAATAAAGAGTAAAAGGAGCCCTAGTGGTGTAGTGTGTAATATAGTAAGTAGTCAATGAAAAATCAGCAGTTGGAAACTACTATCCACTTTGAGTGAAAAATATTTTTGTCTCAGAAACCTGACAGAGGATTGCAGTGAGTCAGAACCAATCCCACTGCAGCCAGTTTATATAAACTAATGTTCTCTAATTGCACTGTGTGTAATCTGTTGGGCTGCTAATTGAATAGCCAGTTGTAATCTATCAGCTGCTCCTTGGGGGGGGGGGGCGGGGGGAAGCTGGATAGTTTCCAACTATTAAGATTTACAGCTTTGGAAACTTGATGAAGGGTCACCATGAGTCAGAGTCTACTAGCTGACACTGGATTTTGATTTGAGTTTATATAGAGCAGCATATATATAGTACAATGTATAAGCTGTATAGTCTATATGTACAGAAAATAGGTACAAAAGGGATCCTTGCTTTAATATACATATCTTTAAGTAACCAGCAAGGATAACATTTTTCTTCATTTAAGTGTTTGCTTTATAATTTTCTCCGTTATGATTTGTGACTTTGATTATTTTCTCTTGAGATTATTTTTTTTAAAAAATCAACACTTTGATGATTTTCCTAGCTTTGCTTTTCTTTTTGTGTTTTAAAACATGGAATTGAAAGGGATCTAATTTTTAGAGGGACCTCCCTGCTTTCTTTATTAGCATTTTTTGTTGTGTACTGTTAAGGTGAAACCAAACTACAGCGGATCCTCCAGCAGGTTTTCAGAAGCACCTAACCACAGGGGAGGACATGCCCTTCTTTCTCCCACAGAGAAGCTGGTGGATTTGAACTGTGTGCCTTTCTGTTGGCAGTTATCAATTCTTTATCACTAAGCCACCAGAGCTCCCTTACTATTGCCATTAGAATGAATATTTTAAAAAACAACCATAGAAAGGAGGGAGCAAAAACCAATTTAAAGAGGAACATTAAAAATTGAGTTTGGCAAAGAAATTATGAATCATTATTAAAAATTTATACAAATGTGCTTACCAAATTCTTAGTGGGTTGGTCTTCACCCAGGGAAGCTATTTTTCTTTCTTTAGCCTTAAAAACAAAGCCACATTTATAATATTAAATATTAATAATTTGCTACTTCTCTCACTAGTTATAATAGCTAATTTTCTGGTTAACCTCCATTCATCTAATTGATTTGAAAATCTACTTTAAATTCTTGATTTTCCGAATGGAGGTGGTGGTTATGTGTTGTTGAGTTGCCTGCAACTGTGACCCTGTGCACAATAGCCCTGAACCCTGCCCTATCCTGAGCCAATCTCACTATCTCTGAAATACCTACCACCTTATAGAAATAGGAGGCCAGGAAAAGGGTAAGACAGGAGACTAGTTTTCTGCATGCCCTGGATCTACACCTTCTCAGGTTTGCCCAGCACTGTATTAGATATGTAAAATTGACATAGAAGGATATATGAGATAGGACAAAACTGTACTTAAATCAACATGAAAACAATAGTATGCTTTACTTATAGCATTTCTGGCTCCTGGAAAAAAAAAGAAAAATCAGCCCATATACTTTGAGCTTGTTGTTAGGACGGCAAGTCCTTGGAAAAGGATGTCATGTTTGGAAAGGTGGAGGATCAGCCAAGGTGGGAAGACCTTCAACAAGTTAGATTGACCCAGCAATTGTAACAATAGATTCAAGTATGTGAGAGATGATGAGGATGGCACAGGGTAGGGCAGGGTTCAGATCCAATGCTCTTAGGGTTACTATGAGTTGTAGTCAACTCAATGGCACACAGCAACAAAAACAACCATTTAAAAAACATTAGAATATTACAAAAGGTCTATGTTATATAGATATAGACACATACACAGATGCACATAGTTGATATCTATGATCATATGTATACATACTCACATAATATATCTCTATTTGTGTACATATATTTATATATGGCATACCTATGACATTGACTCCTTCCTATTCCAATAGATAGCATCATAAGTCTGTTTTTTCCACCATTTGGCATATAAGAAAATTGTTGTACAGTCTCAAGATAAAGTATTCTAGAACTTGTTTTGTTTTAATATTTCATAAATTAAAAAAGAGGAGCCATATCCATATCAGTATTATTAAAGCAAAGAAATGGAACATACTGGTTGCATATATGCCCAATTTTGGCACAGAAATATGTATGTTGGACATATATGATTACTTTTATTGGTTAGAAGTTTTATAGAAGTGTATGTATAAATGGATTAAAATTATTAGTAGGTTTTAAAGAAAAAAATTACCATTCTCCATCCAATTTATCACCCTAATCTCCTTGGGAATTACTATGACAATGAAGTATGCATTAATTAATTTTTAACTCTTCTTCCATAAACTATTAATCACCTTAAGAAAAAGATAGAATTTTCAAGTTGATACTTAGTCTTCTAGATTTGAGTACATCTATTTGAATTCTGTTCTAAACACAGAATTCTATGTTGATGATTATTACCTACACAGAATGGTATCACCCATGGTTTATACTGTTTTTCAGCTTACCTTGTTGGTGCAATTCACCAGTTTTAATGTGCCTTTTGAAACAATGGACAAACGGACACTGAATTCCTTACTAATATTCATTTTAAGAAATTGCTTCAATCTGCGAGCAGCTCGTTGTAGAAATGCACCTTCCTATTTTAAAGAAGAAAGAGAAGAGGTTCAAATAAAATATTATGATATGGTAAACATTCTTAAGAAGTCTTAAGTTGTATCTCTTAGCCAATTCCCCACCTACACACAAATTACTTTTCCTTTCTAGTTAATCACATGACTTACAAATAATGGGACTAAAAACTCTTTAGTTTCTGGGTGACAGCATGAAAAGGTTAGAACAAGCTTACTTTGCCAATTTACCTGTATTTTTTGTTTCATAAATGTGAACTTATTCAAAGGTGTATTTATGACAAGATTATTGCAAGCAGGATATCCCAAGAAGGCTTCTGGAAGCAACAATAATAAAAGGTATGTGTGCTGTATCTTATAGTTGTCATTTTTGTACCTTTTGCATGAGAAATGAACAGCTAGTAATAAGAAAATAGAGGGTCATAATGACATAAAATATAATTTTTCAGATACTTAAAGCATAAATTTAAAAAAGCATGACATGAAATATCATGAAGTTAACCTAGATATTTTGATTATTAAAAGACCATCAGATAACACAGTAATTTCTTTACAAAGTGACACAAAGTTGTGAAGATCTTGCAAATTGCAATATCATACAAAAGAAAAATGTTCAACTATTAGTTCAAAGATAAGCAAATATTGAAAGAAAAAATCCAAAATGCCTGAAATAATATTATTGCATGAAATGTTTTTATACTTGCAAGTTATCACTCTAACATGTATTTTCCTGGGGGGGTGGGAAATACCAAAATAATAGATATTATTGAATTTAGTAATTTTTCTAATGTTTTCAATGTGAAACATCAAATGTTAAAACACAAAAATCTAATAAACACAGGGTATTTTATAAAAAGAAAAGGTATAGTATAATAACTCAGTGGGATCTATGTGGCTAGATCTAAAAGAATGTTATGTTATTAATATAATTGTTTAACAATGGCATAAAAATATAAGCTTCTATAAAGTCAAGCTTAAATGATATATAAACTCCAAATATTTATTATTACCTTATTAGCATAATTATTACCTTATTATCATCACATGAATGCTTTCTAAAAAAGTTAGATTCATTAGTCAGGCAATTGCTACCAATGTCTAGCATGCTGTCCTGTAATAAATGATATAAAATAATATGGTTAAAACTGAGGACTTATCTAGTATGTAATAATTATAAAAATGACAATGTTTAATATTTAGTATTACGTTGTATATGCTAAGTAAAGAACTTATTGACTGGGGTCAGTTGATTAGACATAATGTGTTCTATCATTGAAGACTAAACAAATACATAAGTAAACTTTCACATACTTAGAGTATCCCTAGATTCATTCATTTAACTTCCAAATTCATTCATTGAATCTAGCTCACTTGAATACATAAAAGTACGCATCTATTTTAGAGATAATAATATATAGATAATCAAACAAAATCAATATATTTGTTGCCACTGAGTTGATTCCGATTCATAGTGGCCCTATAGGACAGAACAGACCAACTCAGGATTTCCAAGGCTGTCATCTTTATGAAAGCAGGCATCCACATCATCTTGGCAGTAGATGAGTTTGAATTGTCAACATTCTGGTTAGGAGTCTAGGGTCAGATCACTGTGATTCCTTAACACACACACACACACACACACACACACACACACACGCGCGCGCACGCGCTCATGCACACATCCCCTCCCCTATGAATTTTGAAATGATAAAGTTGAGTTAGAGTTAAGAATTACTCTATTTTCCTACCATCACCAAACAGGAACAAAGGGAATTAAAACTAGAATTAAGCTAAAACCTCTGAAGAGCTCTAGAGAACAGGAAATGGGACATGGTGGCACAGGGCTGTAGTGTCTTTCTGAAAGGGCCAGGGGGCGTGTGGATAGCCTAGCCTCTCACCACCTCATAGCAGAAGGCAAATAAAAAGCCTGTATTCCAGCCCCATGGTGCCTCTAGAGCCACATCAGCAACAAGAGATTTGTTTATCTGTTGTTGATTCAGACTTTACTCAGTTGTATACACACAGTTGTGGTACCAACAGTGGCGTTTATTAGGGAAATAAGTTGGATATTGAGGGAGGAATATCTCACTTAATAAATCCAGGTTTAGTCCAGCAGTCCCAAGCCAAATTAACATCAATGCACATTTCCTTAATTAGCAGAAGCCTCGGTTCAGTAGCACAAATCCAAATCATCCAGCAAAGTTTGCCTCAGAGCAGTTCTAAGTCAGTTTCTTCTTAATTATCCAGCAAGCACAGGAAAATTTTTAACTGAGGCCTTTATCTCAGGGATCCTTTGGTTACATCTTGCCACAGTTTGTCCACAGCATTGTCATAGTCTCTCAACCACCATCATCACGGTCACTCTCACCAGAGTTTAGCTCCACTGTCCCTTAAGTCTTGCTGCCCTGTGTGGGAAGCACTCTCTCCCTTATCCTACACCCACAGCTGTTGATCACTTGCAAGACCATATGTCTGCAGTTAAGATAGCTGGAGACCAGAGAGGGCTAAGGTAATAGCTTAAAAAACCTACTTTAGGCTAACACTACAGCCCACACTCTGGCTTTTCTAGCCATTATTTCTCATTATCTGAAGGATCAACCTTCCCCTTATCATCATCATCTATATTTTGAGAAATATGTATGTAGCCCAGCTCCTTTACTCCTTATGTCTGAGGGTAAGATTAGAATTCTACATTTTTAACAACCCAGTTTATTTTGGATAGTTGTGATAACATGATAATTAACAGTGAGATTTGGTGTGTGTGTGTGTGTGTGTGTGTTAAACAGTAGGAGTAAGACAGGAAAAACTCACTTTTCATTTCTAATAAAATGTCTAATAATATAACAAAGTAGGGATTAATTGAATCAAGAATTTAGCTGACCTATTAGGCAATCCTAAGGATTCAGATTCTCTTAGGAAGAGGTGGATTGTCTCTGCAAATTGATCTGACAATTCCATGCTATCAGAGCTTCTAGAAGGACTTCAAGAAGTAATTTAACCTGCTTTTTGAATGCCACCAAAGAAACAAGAAGTTGAGCAATGGCAAGAGTTGATGACAGTCTTTTAATCTTCATTTGTCTTTTAGAAAAGTATGGAATTATCTTGTCTCTTGTGAAAAGCATAAGTAGTTTCTGATCCTATTTTGGTTTTTAAGTGTATATTTTATAATTGACTGGTATCTATGTTACATACTGGAAGTTGCATCTGAATACAAACACATTCATATAACCAGGTAACACATACTGAAGGCCAACAGGAAAGGTCCTCATTCATGCCCATGGGGAAACAAAGAAAAGAACCTGCACAGTACAAGTTTTCTGTGCCACTTGATGTACACCTAAACCGCTTTTCTTTAATTTTTATTGTAATTTTTAATGAAATTTTATAGAAAAGTTCCATTTTTCATTCATTCACTGTTGCCCATTTTCCTCCCTATCCTTACCAATTTGCTTTTTAAAAAATATATTAGTTTGCTCATAAAGTTCATATACATTATGTTTCACACTATTCTTCATTCATATACAATCATTCCCATGTATTATGTTTTATAAAATCAATCACCATTAGACCTTACCCATCGTTATCCAGTCTTTTCAGGTACCTGCAGGATCCTTCCCATTTCCTTCAACCTCTCCCTCTATTCACCAAACTGTGCAACCCTTTGGTTTTGCCCCTACCCATCCTCATCCCTCTGCTCCCACCCCTTCTTCCCTTGCATCCCCATACATGTTTTTGCTAGTTATCCTTCTATTTTTGGAATAATGGTCTTATGCAGTATCTGTCCTTATGAGACTGAGTTAGTTCACTCAGTGTTAGTGCTCTCCAGTCTCCCCCAAGTTAAGTAGTAATTTTCTAAATTGTTGCCCCTGGGTGCTGCATAGTATTCCATTGTGTGAATGTACCACAATTTCTCAATGCATTCAGGTGTAGTTGGGCATTTGGGCTGCTTCCATGATCTTGCAATGGTGAATAATGCTGCTATGAACACTGATGTACAAAGCTCTATTTGTGTCTCAGTTATTATTTCCTTGGGGTACATTCCTAGTAGTGGAATAGCTGGGTCATATGGAGTTTCTATATTCAACTTTTTGAGGAAATGCCAAACTAGTTAGCTTTTCTTATCTTTAGATATGTTTGCTTTGAAAACAATATTTCTTGCATCAGCCATCCCAGTTATGCTGCAAACACTTCAAGTGCAAAAGAAATACTCTTCCCTAACTCTCTTCAAATTGCCATTAGACTAATTTCTGGAAAATGAAGCAGATAAGTAGTATTTTCTAATAAATTATCTTCCTAATAACTTGCAATTAACCCCAAGAAGGAAAATTCATTACATATAATTAATTTTTGATGAAACTATTTCATTTCTGCAATGTCATTTATACTAGCATATCTTCAAAACAGAGGCACTTGTTATTTGAAAATGACTGGCAGATATCTGAGACAAATCTCTTTTGTTATAAGCCCTTCCTCATTCCTAGAATGCACTTTGACTTACACTACTTTTTGTAAATAAGAGAGTTGCTGTTAAGTGTCACTAAGTAGTTACTCATACAGACCTCACATATAACAAAACAAAACACTGCCCAGTCCGACTCCATCTTCATAATCATCATTATGTTTGAGCTCATTGTTGTAGCCACTTTATCAATCCATCTCATGGTGATCTGCATTTTGTCACTGATTGTCTATTTTACTAAACATGGTGTTCTTCTTCAGGTACTTGTATCTCCTACTAACATGACCAGAATATGTGAGATTATGTCATGTTATTCTTGATTACAAATTGCATTCTGGCTTTGGTTCACCCAAGACAGTTTTGTTTGTTATTCTGGTAGTCTAATAAATATTCTTCACAAACATCTAGTTCAAGGCATTCTTCCTTCCTTATTCCTGGACCAGCTGTCACATGAACATGAGGCAAGCTTGGGCCATGTGCCCTTTAGGTCCCCAAAGGGACATCTTTGCTACTGAATATTTTAAAGAGATCTTTTGCTGCAAATTGCCTAATATAATGCATTTTTTTAAAAAAATTAACTGCTCCTTTGATGGTTATGATTATTGATCCAAGTAAAATTAAGTCGTTGACAACTTAAATATTGTCTCCACTAATTATACTACTTATCAGTCCAGTTGTCATGATTATATTTGGGTGTTTTTTTGTTGTTCTGTCCTTCGTTCAAGTTATGATGTGAAAGCTGTTAGTTTGTGGTGCCATGGTGGCTTGTGTCCTATAATTCAGGATTTTGCCACCAACATTTGAAAGTCTAGAAAGGGCCATTAGAACTAAACAGGCTTCAATGGCATTTCCTGATATATGAGGTATATTAATTAGGGAGCTCTGGTAGTCTACTGGTAAGAAGCTGTGCTTCAATCAGAATGCACATGGTTTGGATCCACCAGCAGCTAATTGTGAAAGAAGGATGGGCAATCTCTTCCCATGCAATTAACTGCCTCTGAAAACCTTCTGCAGGCTCAGCTGTGTGTTGGTTCCATCCATATACAATTATATATTACATAATATATATTTGGTATAGTAAGATATATTAAGTAGAACATGAGTGATCTATTTGAGTAAAATTGTACAGTGAAAGCTTTATAAACAGCAGCGGATCACTGTGTGATAAAGCACTGGAAGATGAGCCCTACTGTTTGGTTGGAAAACTCTCAAAACATGACTGCGGTAAAATTGTCACTTCAAAGAGACACTTCATTAATGATGCAGATTGAGTAATGATTTAGGGACCTTCATATATTGATGTGGAATAGCTCAAAATGAGAACAAACAACAACAAACATCTATCCCTAATGGGAATGTGAATGTAAAAAATATGAATCAAGAAAAATTGAATGTTATAAAAAATGAAATTAAAATCTCTATCTTAGGTAGTATTGAACAGAAGTAAACTGGTATTAGCTATTTTGAGTCAAGTAATCCAATGGTTTGCCATGTTGGGAATAAAAAATTGAAGAGGAATAGCATCTCATTTATTATAAAAATAACATTTTAAAGATTGGTTTCTTGTGTACAGTGCTGTCAGTGATAGTATAAAATCCACATGCCTATAAGGAAGACTAGCAAATAAGGCCACAATTCAAATTTTTACATCA